TTACAAATATTAAAAATGACTCAATTTCTTATCATTTTCTTCACAAAATTCAAGTGTAGAATGAACAGTTATAAAACAAGACTGCTTTCATGTAAACATAATTACAGATTTCACAAATAATTTAACCTTTTCTCAATTTGCTGTTTTGCCCCCAAACAAAATCATTATCTTTAAAAAAATTGTCACATTCTTTGACTTTTTGGAAGCATTCAAAACATTCTCATATTTTAACAATTAATAACCATTAACAAAATAATCACCTTCAGCCCTCTTGTTCTAGTGGGAAATATTGATTCTATGGATTTTTAGGCTAGTGTCACCATAAGCTATTAAAGCCATGTGTTTTTCACAACCCTTAGCATGAATGGAAATTCTGAAGTTTGAATGTTGGTTTTTAGTTTCTATGTGACTATCAGTACAATTTAACCATTTAGCCATAACATACAGTATAATATAAATGCAAAACAGGACAAATCTGTGCTTTTGTTATTGTGGGCATGCTCCCTAATAGTACTGATTGTAACTCCTCCATCCATTACTTTAAATACTCTGAAATTCTCAAGCATGTGCTTCCACAAATCCTCCATACAATGTACTCTCAACATGTTGGAAGCCTTCATCTGGGTCTATATAATTGTTTCAACTCTATTGGTGCCACTGAGTTATTTAAGTAAGTTCTGGTGCTACATTTGGGCACCTCTATCCCTCACCATTATTCATCCATTCAGTCATTTGACAAGGATTAATTAAATGCTTACTAGTACCAAGCACTGTGTTAAGCACTAGGGATACAAAGAAAGGAAACTCCCTCAGGGAGTTCACATTCTATGCAAACTATGTACAAATGATACATGCAAGATAACTTGAAACTAATCTCAGAAGGAAGACATTAGCATTAAAGGGGACTAGGAAACCTTCTTGCAGAAGAAATTTTAGCTGAGAATTGAAGGATGTCAGGGGAACCAGGAGGCTGAAGTGAGGAGGGAAAGCATTCCAGTTATAGGGAAAGTCAATGAAAATGAATGGAGGTGGAATGTCTCGTTCAAGGAACAGCGAGGAGATCAGTGTCATTGGAGCAAAGAGTATGTAGAGGGGAGCTAAATATAATGAAATTGAAAAGGTAGGAAGGAGTCAAATTATGAAGGGCGAGGATTTTCACTTTGATCCTGTAGGTAATGAAGCTGCAGGAATTTAATGCATAGGAGATTGTCATGATCTCCTTTTCCGGTCATACAGTAATTTTAATTTTTGATATTTCTTAGAAATGTGTTTAATTGAAATAAAATAATTATTACAATAATGAAGTCTTCTGTAGTGCTTTTTGTGGGCAAGCTATATTGGTAATATGCTATAGTCTGCTTACATCCATAAAGGAACCTTTCCTTTTCCCATTTGGTCACCAGAAAATTTTATTTTTTTTCTCCCCTGATAGTATGATGTTTCATGATTCACAACCATATAGCAACACCAGTCAAATAGAATGAGGATGGAGAAAGAGCTCTGGGATCTAGCAATCAAAGAATCATTAGTAACCTTGGAGAGAGCAGTTTCAGTGTATTGTTGGCATTATAATCCACCACTATAAGGGATTAAGAAAAAGTGTGAGGGACATAAAAGAATAGAGACAAAGTGTAAATTATACTTTATAAGAATTCAGAAATGGAAAAGGGAAAGAAGATGTAGGAGAGGAGATGATAGATGGAATACACTGCCATCTTTTATTTAGCTTTCTTCTGAATTGGTTTTAATGACTTTTTCTAAACTGTTGGATATTACTATCCATAGACAATTAATTTTAAATGACTGATTTCAATAACCTATTAAAATATTGTTAATTTTTTGGTGTTATCAATGTTGTTAAATGAGATAACATGTACATTGTTTTCCAAATAAAGCTAGTTATTCTTCTTCTTCTTCAATGCTTGCCATTTCTTATTCCTTATGATTCTCTTTGAAAAAATATTTCATTATGCTTCTGAGTAATTTAAATGGACTTATTTCATTTATGAACTATAATAAAGGGAATTATATGAAAAATACCATAACAAAAAAATAAAACAAATACTATGGCGGTCCAGAAGAGGAGTTTCACTCTCTTTTGGGGAAACAAAGTATTTTATTAATATGTCATCTCAATTTTTATATCTTTACTTTAATTCGCAATTTCTTCATTTATTAAATGAGGCATCAAGATGGTGCGGTAAAGAGACTACTTCGCTCAGAATGTGGAAGACCTGGATTCAAGTTCTACTTTGGGAAAATCACCTAATCTCTCTCAGCCTCAGTCTCCTCATTTATAAAATGGGGATGATAAAAAAAAAGGATTTACCTCTCAGGGTTGTTATAAGAATCAAATGGGGTAACACATATGTGAGAGTCAGGTAAAGGTTAAATTTCCACAGAGAAAGAGAATAATGCAGAGATTTAAAGAACAAAGGTCCCAGGAAGTGGTACACTGTAGGTGGGCTGGGCTTGACCAATAGGAAGTAAGTGGATTGTTCCAAGAAGACCCCAAAATCAAGATAAGGGTCAAGCCAGCTCAGACCAGTTGGGGTCAACCTGAGGACACCTGAAAAGTGCTAGTGCACCTGCTTCATGAGCTTCATTACTATTATCTGACACATCCCGCATAAAATTGGAGCCTCATTATCGAGTCATGGGATGTATGACCAAGGGAGGGGGAACATACTTGAGCATATCAAGGGGAAACATGTAAGGAAAGGTGTAACTTGGGAAGGAATGGACCAATTACGCCAAATTCAACTGCATAAAAGCACACTTGCCCTTACACTCAGGGCCTACCCCTCCTGAAGAGGGGTGGAGCCTGCTTCTGGCCAGAAATGTCTAAATCCTCTGGACTTTCTTTATAATAAATTTTCTTGATACTAAATTTTTGGTGTCAAGTTTATTTCTAACAACATATAATATGCTTTTCAAACCTGAAAGCACTATATCAATACTAGCTATTATTGTTGTTAATAATAATATCATTATTACTATTGCTGCTGCTGCTGCTACTACTATTACTACTACTACTACTAAAATGAGAATAATAATAGCACCTTTATCACAGAGTTATAATGAAAGTTAAATAAAATCATTTGCAAACTTTAAAGCACTAGACAAATATCAGCTATTGTTTATAAATTATAATTGAACTTATTCTTCAACTCACAGAAGGGAAAGGAATAAATTTGAAGGAGCAAGGGGAAATGGGGAAGGTTTTCATGAAATGATTGGGTAACATATTGAAGAGAAAAGGGTGGGGAATTACGGATATAGTATTGAAAGGAGACTTAAAGAACCCTTAGTCTAACACCTATGTTTTACAAAAAAAGGAAACTGAGGCCTATTATGGTTGCTACCTGCCAAAGGTCATATAGGTACCTAGTGGCTAAGTTGGGATTTGAACCCAGGTCCTGACTCCAAATCCATTTTAGCATCCTATTCTTAAAACAGAAATTAAGGAGGATATATGAGTATGTTTAAGAAAGCAGTAGTTGAAGTAGAATGAATGAAGGTGGGTATCATGACAGAAGAAAAGGTTGGATCATAGCCCATGTATAATCCCACTGAGAGAAAAGCATCAAGTAGCTCTGTGGACCCAGTAACAGCTTGGTGGCTGTTTTGAAATCACAGGAAGGAGGTGGGAATTTTATTTGGGATCTTGCATACAGAGTATAATATAGTACATAACAATTACAATTACAGTGTAAAATTATTTGTACACATAAGATATCCATAGATCATGTATTTATAATTCAGAGTATCTATTTACAGTTAGTCTATAAAATATTTTTACCTGCTATTTATAAAAAATAATTTTTCTTCTTCTGTAGTTTCTCAGATATGAATCAGAAAAATTCAATTAGAATTTGCAAGGTCTTTGTATGAGACATAAAACAACCGGCCAATTTCATTATAATTTTTTTTTTGTCAAACAGGTTTTGGAAATTATATATTAAAAAAAAACAACTAGGGAGTTTATCTGAAGTTTATCAAAGTTTCACTTTGCACAGATTATTGTATTGCCCATGTGGACACAGCAGCTTTTGTTATGATTATTATAAAACAAAATGATATAGAATTGAAGTAGAAATCCTGAAAATCTCAAATACACTGTTAGTTACTAAATCATTTGTCCTCTCCGAGTAACTGCATCTTGGAAGATAAAGCTATTCAAAATACGTAATGGTAATTAAGGCACGATAAGATCTTAATTAATTAGAGTCATAGTTCCTGTAACCTCTTCTCTCAATAAAGCAATTGAGAATGAAAAAATAAGTAAAAAAGAAAACACCTCTAAACATTAAAGAGATTCAGTATATTTATATAGGACTCTCAGGCTTAAACTTCATACTTGAAGATCTGGCTTTACAGATTAAATCAAAGGAAAAGAAATGCATTATAAGAATAGAGGATGAGTTTCTAATGTGCCAATAGGACTCACATTGACAGTAGCAAGAAAGGAAAACTAACAGAGGGGATATTGATGGAAAACATAACCATAAAAAGCAGTCAAAAAATCTAGAAAATCACAGCAGTCTGAGGCTGTTTATTGTAGGAACAAATAGTTCTATAGACTTTAAAAACCCTGAAAGACATCACTGTATTAAAATAATTGACGCTCATAGTAATGGCCCATGTACTTAAGAAAGTATCCACAGGCTGTTTGAGAAATAAATAACAGATTTCAGACAGATTTCCACAAAAAAAGAACAAAAAAATTTGGAGCCATTCAAACAGTTAAGTGGCAATTATCTAGAAATTCACGTATTAGACATCTCAGTCCCCAAATCTGCCAGATAAATAAAGTGCTACATACAATATTTCCAATGCTTTTGATGTGAGACTATGTATGGCAGCAATAAATATATAGTACAACAAAAAAAACATGATTTGGGAATTGTATAGAAACTTTTAACTTTTTATTCACATTCTGTACACCCTTTTTTCCTCTCCATGGCTAGAGTATTTCACCAAATTAATTATTTTCTTACCCTCATTCCTTCAAATCGAGATAAAGCTCTGAGTGGTCTTAAAGCTCTTAGGGTCCGAAGGGATTTAATGGGACCGAGGTCTGAGTATCCAAGAGTGTTGGCTACAAGTGTAATTATAGATACCTGCCAAAAATCAGAGGAAAAAAAAAACAAAATTTCACATTTATTGTGTCAAACTTCTGCATAAAAGTTAAAGTTATTATATAGAAAATGATCAGAATTTTCCAAGAGCTGCTTCATAAACAATAAAATCATGCAAAGCACACAATCATTGCCTAGGAAAACATATATAAAGAAATGGTTTTTAGAGAAATGCAATTAAAGAGTAAGTTATTTTAATGAAAAATTATGGCTATTTTATTCAGAATTGCCAGGTAAACATAGATATGCTTAAGAAATGACATGTGTAGTAAAAAGAGCTCTGAATTTAATGTCAGGCGATTTTGGTTCAAATTCTGGCCGTAACAGTAACCACCTATGTAAATGTGGGGAGGTAACTTCTTTAGTCTTTTCATCTGTAAAACATACACTAACAGATGTGCTACCTACTTTATAGTTTTGGAGAGCACTTTGTAAACCTGAGAATGCTATAGAAATATGACTTATTTTTGTTTTTAAATTCATTGATTCATGGTTAACGTTAGTAACAACTTGCTAACTGGAAACTGTTATGAAAGACCAATTTTGTAATTAAGATCAATTAATAATGAGACCATTTGGAAGGAACACCAGATCATGGTCATATTTATGAATAACTAAGCCAATACCTGGACATAAAACTTCCACTGATGAGCCAAAAGTCTGAGCAAGCTACATATATTATTGAATAATATTCTGCATTCTCTTATTTCCCTAAATGCTATCATTTCAGGCTGGCCTAAATGTGTTTTACAAGTTCTTAAAAACTGATACTGAAGACATGCCTCTAGTTATCAATAATGAAGAGTAAAGAGTCAATTGGATCAATAAGGGACTACAATTTAATTGATATTTCATTGACTGTAATTTAAGCAGGGGTATTATGAGGCTCAGATGAGATAATGGATCTTTGCAAACCTTAAAGCATTATATATGTGCCAGTTATTATTATTAGTCACCAGGCCTCCAATCTGGTGATGACTTCATTCCTGAAACCTTCTACTAAATTCCCACTAAGCTTAAGCAATATTTATAGAGAAACAGAGGTATGCTGGTAAATGTTTAACACCTAGGCTGTATGAAAAAAATGCATGTGCATACACGTTTATCTGCATTATTAAGTCTAGACAATCAACAAAATAACAAATCAAGCCCTTATTTATAATGATTTATGATTTCTGAGGTAAATGCTCACACAGAAAATTTAACAATCAGGGCAGCCAGCGCTGGCTCTAGAGTCACCTGAATTTCTTCTTTTCTTTTTTTTTTATTCTTCCCTTTTTTAAAAATTAAAATTAATTTTTTTTTTAGGCAGTCGGGGTTAAGTGACTTGCCCAGGGTCAGTCACACAGCTAGTAAGTGTTTGAGGTTGGATTTCAACTCAGTGCTTCTGACTCCAGGACCAGTACTCTAACCACTGCACCACCTAGCTTCCCCAAGCCACCTGAATTTAATGTGGATTTTATAAAACTTTAGAGCCTAATATTCTTAATGAACTTGGGACACGGATCTCTTAATATATTCAGTTATGTTAACACCACGCTTCAAACTTCAATCTTTTTCTCTTTTTACCCTTTTCTCCCCTTTGTCTTCACATCTAATCAGTTGCCGAGTCCTTTCAGTTGTAATTCCACAACATTTCTTGCATCTCTCATAGTAGTTTAAACCCTCTTTAAATCATAAATATTATTGCCTATTTCCAGTTTTTCTTCTCTCTGTACCTTTCTCTACACAAGTGCCAAAATAATGTTCCTTATACAACAGGTCTGACCATTTTACTTCCCTTCTCAAAAACCTCCCCCATGTGCTTATGGGGTAAAATATAAACTCCTAAACCTCAAATTAAAGCTTCCTATAATTAGGTTTGAAACTCCCATTTCAATCATTATTTCATACTGCTGCTTTTCACATACCACCAAACTGCGTAGTCTTCATGCCTTGATGCCATCCTGCCCTCTCCCACCTCTATGTGTCATTGAAGGCTATGTCCATGTCTAGGGTGTGCTTACTTTTTATTTCTGCCTTTTGAAATACTTCTCAACCTTCAAAGTCCTCCTGAAGCATGACTATCTTCATGTGGCATTCTCTGATTCTCTTAGTTGACAGTGGTGTTTCCCTTCTCAAATTTTCTTACAGTAGGTTATGTCTTTCCTTTGCCTCCATTGCATCTTACCCATCATTATACTTGGGGATATATATGTTGCACATATCTTCACATACCAATACATTATATGCTCCTTGTGACTAAAGACCATATATAATGTCCTGTCTTCATCTTCAGTACTTAGCACAGTGTTTTGTATATCACAGGAATTTGACAAATACTCTTTGAATAGATTTTTTAAAATATATGTAGTATAGAGGTAACAATGGGATAAAATGTCTAATAGCAAGAACTGGATTGGAACCATACCTTAGTTAAGACAGAGATGGGGAATTGCATAACCTGAATACTTGAAAATTTTTTTTGGAAAAAACTAAAATTTTAAGGGGCAGCTAGGTGGCACAATGGATAAAGCACTGGCCCTGGAGTCAGAAAGACCTGAGTTCAAATCTAGCTCAGACACTTACTAGCTATGTGACCCTGGGCAAGTCACTTAACCTTGATTGCCTCCAAAAGAAAAAAAACTAAAATTTTAAGCAACTTTAACTAGGGAAGTCTATCAGTGGAAAACAACTTTCAAAGTTCGAATACGCAGGCAGGCTAACTCCCCAGCCCTGACCCGTACCTTGGGCATGCACATCCTTCCAGTTTTACTTCTCCATGATCTCTTGTGTACATCTTCTGCTGGCTGTTCCCATTGCTACCTCCCTAATCCAGCATCCTCATTAATTTGTATACATGGTAGTTTCTTAACCTGTTTCTCCATTTCTGTCCCTCCCATTAAATCCATCCTTCATACTCACTACCAGATGGTTCTTTCTAATGGACAGAACTGGCCATGTCACTTCCTTATTCAAGAATTTCCAGTGGTTTCCTGGTCCCTTCCAAATGAAAGCCAAGTCCCTTGGCATGGCATTCAAAGCCCTCCATAAGGTGATTACAAGCTATTTCTCTCTTATACTACTCTCTTGCAAGAGCTCCTTTCTCCCACCAAACTCCCACCTTTCTAATCTTCATACTGTTATTTGTGCTACTGTCTCTGGCTGCTAGATGTACTGTTTCCAGATCGTCCTCCTAATTATCTTTCAATTCCTAAAGACCATGTCCTTCATGTAACTCTGATCTTTTTTTTTTTTTTGGTTTATGCAAAAATTTATTTGACCAAAAGCTAGAAAAAGGGGATACTATTACCTATGATACATTTGGTAAAAATCTGAATGAAAAGCACTAGTTTCATTCAGCTTTACATTTCCTAGTGTGTTTTTGGTGTGTGCTTAAGTGTGATGCTTAATAAATAAGAATAAGGACTGGGATTATATGCTAGAAGCAGGGTAATTTTTAATCATAACTGTAAACTTGAGTCTTCATATCTGATCCACACTGCTGTGGAATAAGGAATGTTTTAGCACTGAACTGTACACAAGGAAGCCATTTAGCAGCAACAAATAGGCACTGTCTATTTGAATCTCTGAATCCAGTTAAATTAGGAGGTTTTTGGTCTTTGTTAAAGTTGGTCCCTAAAATAGGGGATTAAATTCCCTCTGAAATAGAACAATCTTCCATTTGCCATACTATGACAGTCTAAAATAAAATTAAGACAATTTGAATTTTATTTCTCTTTTAGTGACAGTGAGGAACCTTTGGTCTTGTATTTCTAGCCAACAGATTCATGGACATAGAAAGTGGCATGTTAAAGGGATGATGGGGAGCACTACCATGCTACAACCAGAGAAGAGACAGCCACCATACGAATTTCCACTGAATTGCTGGCTGGCTTTGTTGGCTGCTGCTCAGCCATACAGAAATCAGGGAACAGAACAAACATAGTTCCTTCTTTGGAGTGAGACTTTCAGTTGCTTTGCAGAAGTCAACTCCTAAATGAGAGAAGTTGGTAAGGTACTTTAACTGGTCCAAATATAGGCTGATCTCACCTAAAATCCTTAAAAATCTCATTTAAAGGAAAAAAAAAGTCTAGGTATACAGTGAAAGTACCATCAATTGCAGGCCACATTTGGGTTTTTATATAAGCCGTGTAACTCTGATCTTCCAAATTGGAAATGATGTCTCCCTTGCTAAGACTCTTGAAGCACCTTGTTAGCATTCCTTTTAGGCACTTCTCATTTTCTATTTTTTTGAGCCATTTGTATGTGTATCCTTAGTTTCCTACTAGAATATAAGCTTTTGGGGGAAGATATGGGCTTAATAAATGTTTGATGAATTCTGCTGATGGAGGCAGGGTCATCTGGTTTGGTACTTCAGTGAGTAACTAATGCCAAGACAGAAAAAAGGCTGCAATTTGATTATGAAGATAGTTAAAAGCAACCTAAGACCACCTAGTATCTTGTGTTCATAGATTAAGAATCATGTAGTGAATACATTTATTTTACAGTGAGGAACTGAGGCTTGGAGATGTTAGGTACTTTTATCCGAGGTCACAAAGGTAGTAAATTGCAGAACTGAGATTTGAACCGAGGGAAAGAATAATCTTAGAAGTAGTACCATTAGCACTCACTATAGAACATAAAGGTTTATTTTCACTAACCAACAGATTTTTCAAGATATAGCTCACAAAAAATTAAAATAGTGTGCCACCATTAATACATGTTAAAAATCAGTCTCCTAGAGAGGACAATGAGAAAAACATGTTAAACAAAATAGATCACATTCCTTTGACAGTTATTTTCACAATACATAATAAGTACGTGTGTCACTTATAAAGTAGCTAAAGTAGAAAAAAATCTTAGTTATGATTCTTTATTTTACATTAATTTGATCCATTTTTATTTTATAGTTTAAGATATTATATAGGGTTGTACATATTTGTCTAAAGATGTCTAATAACAATGTAAGGTGTTCTTTTTGTTTCTCCACTGTATGATCAACCAATGGTTAAATTCTAAGATTATTTGTATGTGATATATTTGTATACACACTGGACACCATTCTCTGTAAGCCTACATACACACATACCAATGTATATGCATGCACACATTCCCATATATAAGCAAAGAGTGGTATGTATATGAATATATTACATGCATACACACACATAGTTTTAGAATTTAGCTACTGGTTAACTCTGTGTTTATACATACATATGCATATGTGTGTGTGTGTATGTGTATACACACACACACCTGTATGTTATAAAATAGAAAATAAATCTCCATTCCTATTTAAATGTGAAGACAGGGTATATATATAAACATGCTAATATATGCATATTTCCAAAACAGAAAAGACATATTCAAGATAAGTAAATCAACTTTACAGCAACAAGGTAGCTAGCAGAAAATGTACTAGATTTGGAGTCAGGATGGTTTGAGTTTAAATCTTCCCTCAGATACTTACTAGCTGTGTGACACTAGGCAAGTCATTTAAGCTATCTAAGCCTCAGTTTCCTCATCTGTAAAATGGGGATAATACCAACACTACCTCAGAGGGTTGTTGAGAACATATTGTATAATTTATATGCACACGTAATGTTTTCAAGTGAGAACATATGTAGAATGGTTTTCAAACCTTAAAGCACCATATAAATATTACTTATTAGCTATTAAATAATAGTTATCATCATTATTATCATTATCATGTTTTTCATAATGGTATAACATATATATATGTATACTTTCAGAAAACAAAGATATACACATAAAATAGCGCACAAATGTGTATGTAGTAAAATGTCTTTTAGTGTCTCTGCCCATGTTATTTTAGCCATTATGAAAGTACTTATGCTTAATAATGAATATTGGAGACACCAGAACGCTGTATAAGAAATTATTTAAAAATACATACATCAACAATTAAGAAGTCCAGCCAGCACCAGGCATTAGTAAAATATGTTTTATAACCATATGCTACCCATTTTAGAAGCATTTCCAGGATGAAGACATAAGTGAAGATCTTGTCAGCATACTCCAACACAGTCTTAATGGTCTTTCTCTGTTCAATATATATATCTTCAAAAGCCTGTGGGGGGAGGAAATCCAAATTTCTATTATATCTAACACTGAAACATGATTTGGAGTAAAGAATGAAAAAGAAAATTGGTTTCTGGGGATTAGATGGTGATAATAAGGCTAAGAACATAAGTTCACATGAGCTAGTTTTCTGTGCTTTCTTTTACAGCCGTAGATAATCAATTTCCTTATTTCTACTTCATCATCTTATACATGTATTTATGAATTATCAGAGGCATAGGCAGAGAGAGAATGGATAGAGCCCCTAAAATCCATTGGTACTACTAGAAATGAGCCCCAAAGTTCATGTTGTATCAATATCATATTGGCATCTGGAGAACAGCACCTTATTGTGAATCTGAAAGAAGTTTTTCGTCCACATTGAGTTCTTGCTTTCAAAAGAAAATAGACTTACTTGGCTTTCAATATTGAAATGCCCCAATCTTTCCAAGCAGAAAAGCATAAACAGAATAACTATGTAAAATTTTAGAATAAACATTATAATAATGATTGCTATTGTAAAAAATGACAAAAATGTAATAAAAATTAGTAAAATATAAGTAAAGGGCAAGCTTTTATTTGAACTGTGAAAAATTACAAATTAAGTCCTCTTTTCAATAGTCTACATATACTGGACATTTTTAACAATGTCATTTCTAAGAATGTAAATGTGGGTAGTATTTGTTCTTTTTTTTTCTTTTTTTTTTTTTTTAGGCAATCAAGGGTAAGTGACTTGCCCAGGGTCACATAGCTGGTAAGTATCTGAGACTGGATTGGAATTCAGGTCTTCCTGACTCATGGCCAGAACTCTATGTACTCTGCCACCTAGCTGCCCCAGTACTTATTCTTTACTAAAGAAGAAGAGAATCAAGTATGAGAACAACTTTGTTTCAAAAGCCCAAATAACAGACATAAACCACTTGTGAAGTTTCATAAAAATTATTAAAAAAGCTTATAAAATCCATCTATGCTATTGACATTAGTAATATGTTTTGAACATATCTGTTAATAAAATCAATCCAAGAAGTCTTTGTATAGTCCTTTAGTAATTGAGACTATATATTCAGCTTCCTGATTTTTCAAAGTATTGGAAGCTTCCAACTTAAAAAAAAAAAGAAGTCATGTCTCTAAAGATCATTTCTAAGCTCACTGTATCTATAACAGAAGGGGGCCTTAGACATCAACTAGTTTCAGTCAGTCGTCAATAAACATTTGTTAAGTATTTACTATGTACCAAGCCCTGTGCTAAGTGCTTGGGATACAAAGAAAACTCCCTCATTTTACAGAAGAGGAAACAGAAGCATAGAGAAATGAAGTCACTTATCCAAAACCACATGGGTAGTGATTAGCTGACTTGGTATTCAAATTCAGGTCCTCTCATCTGACCCTAGTACTATGATAAGCTCTCTCTCAATTTCTCTCTCTCCGCTAAACTACAAAATCTTATTTTGCAAGATCTTAGGGGGAAAGGAGGTTACGTGGCAAAAATCTAGAATTTATTATTAAGCAAATGATTTCTTAGCATTTACCCCGCCCCAACACACACACACACACACACACACACACACACACACACACACACACACACACTCACTAAGAACCAATCTAGGCATAGTAAGAACAAGTATATGGTCCAACTAATACACATTCTCTAACATGAACAAACAGAAAACCAGAGAAGTCAAGTTATTTTCAAAGTTCACAAAGCCTCTTAGAGACAGATTTGGGACTTAAACCCAGGTCTCATTAAGTACTACAGAAAGATGACTTAAAGTTCTGAGAATCAGCTAGTACTCCTGATGAATCAAGATTCAGATTAATCTCAGTAGGCTAGATTGATAGACTGAAACCAACACGATGAAATTTAACAGAGATATTATAAAATCCTCTATCTAGGTCAAAAAAAAGTATGCATATAACTACTGGATGGGTGGTGGAGGGGGAAGGGGAAGTTAGATGGCACAGTGTATAGACTACCAGTCCTGGAGTCAGGAAGGCTCATCTTCCTGAGTTCAAATCCAGCCTCAAGCACTTGCCAGCTGTGTGACCCTGGGCAAGTCTCTTAACCCTGTTTACTTCAGTTTCCTCATCTGGAAAAATGAGCTGGAGAAGGAAGTGGCAAACTATTCCAGTATCTTTGTCAAGAAAACCCCAGATGGGGTCATGAAAAGTAGAACATGATTGAAATGACTGAACAACTGGATGGGAGATAACTGACTAAATGAAGCAATTGATGCGAAAAAAGATCCTCCAAGCTTTAATTGGCCACAAGCTCCCTGTAAGCCAATGATAGGGTACAGATATTTTAAAAAATATTAATAAAATATTAGGTTTAAAAAATACAATGCACTATATAGTATATATAAATACACTATACACAACAAGTAAAGTAATAATTGTATGAATATTCAGATCTGGAGTTTTACATTTACTTCTTGGTATACCATTTTAAAAGGGTTCCTAAAAAAGTACAGAGTGTCCTGAGAGGGAGAAAAGATAGTTAAATATCTGAAAATTACATTATCTGATATGTGTTTGAGGGAACAAGGGATATTTTATTAGAAGATTAATTTTGAAGATGAGGCAAGATAACTCCCTTCAAGGGTTTAAAGTGTTGTCATGTTTCTTTTCTTTTCTTTTCTTTTCTTTTTTTCTTTTCTTTTCTTTTCTTTTCTTTTCTTTTCTTTTTCTTTTCTTTTCTTTTTTTCTTTTCTTTTCTTTTTTTCTTTCTTCTTTCTTTCTTTTTCTTTCTTTCTTTCTTTCTTTCTTTCTTTCTTTCTTTCTCTCTCTCTCTCTCTCTCTCTCTCTCTCTCTCTTCTCTCTCTCTTCTCTTTCTTTCTTTCTTTCTTTCTTTCTTTCTTTCTTGTGAGGGCAATTGGAGTTAAGTGACTTGCCCAGGGTCACACACCTAGCGAGTGTTATATGTGTGAGGCCGGATTTGCCTCCAGGGCCAGTGCTCTGTCCACTGCACCACCTAGCTGTCCCTGTTGTCATGTTTCCACAGAAGACAGAGCTATAATAACTGAGTTCAAGTTAGAGAGCAACAGATTTAGGATTAGTGTAGGGATGAACTTTTCAAAAATAATTCAAACTGTCCAGTGTAACCCTTACAATTACAAGAGTTTGCCTTAAGTTATGGCCACTCTTCCTGGACCATACCTTTCCCCTCCCACCTGGAAGCCTGCAGGAGTCACCCTCCTAATGGTCCATACCTCTCCTCTGTCCCTTACCCAAAGACCTGAACAGACACGGCAGAATTTCTGTCTCTCTGCTGTGTGCCATTCTCATTACAATGAGTAATCTGTCAATTACATTATGAGTCATATAGGTTTTTATAATCTAGCCTGCGAACTGATTATAGGACCACAGATTTAGATTTGGAAGTAGCCTCAGAGGCCATCCAGGTCAAATACCTCTTTTTATAGATAAGGACCCTGAGGTTGAGAGCAGATAAGTAAGTTGGATCCCTGTGCTTAGGACAGAGGCAGGATTTCAACCCAGATCCTCTGAATCAAATCAGTGCTCTGTTTCCTATGTTCTGCATCTATAATATTGTTCTAAATGGAAATACCTTTCAGGGTAAGTGATGAAAGGAAAAGACAATGGTTTGGGAAATGTTTTATATCTTGCCACAGAGGGGCCTCCTGTTCCTCGGTTTAGGGCAGGACTTAGCAGAGAGGAGAGATTAGCATGGCTCTGGGAAAACCTTGTTCTCTGTATGGTGTGCAGATTTTAATTTTGCATATATTCCTAATTTGGATTTCCATAACTCAAGGAGAACCTATTCTCTAATTCTGGTGAAAACATTAATTTGCAATAATTTTCTGCATCAGTTAAATTCTTAAATCAAATGTTTTCATACACATAATCCATCACTTACCAAAGCACCGCTGCTGAGAAGGATCATGAGGACAATGAAACTCTCAAACCAGTTGTGTTCTACTATTCTGTAGCAGGTTTTCCTTATGTTCCACCAAACTTTTCCTTTGCCAGATTCTACGCTAACTTGACAGCATGGGAACCTTCGTACACAACCTAGCAGAATGGAAAACATGAAAAAACAATTTGAAAATTCAAAATAAGTTGCTTCCATGTAGTCACCATCTCTTTATTGTTCCCCAATATATTTCTAAAATACTATTCAATACTAACATCTTCACTCAAAACTAGTCATATTATAAGTTCAAGGTACCGGTAGACTAAAGAGAAACATTGCATAGGATAACACACATGTAAAAGTAAGATGTATTTCTTCCTTCAGGAGGCATTTCCACGAAAGAATTAAGAAGGATCAGTGCCTTCTTTACTTGACTTAATCGAGAAGCCAGTGGAAATATTGCAATCCCCTCAACAATCCTCAACGGACTGGGATGGATTCTCAGAGATATCCATTTATTACTATGAAGATTACACAGGATAAGTTTGTTGCCCTGTTTTCTCAAAAAGATTAGCGCCTTTAAGAAAAAGAGAAAGTCTTTGAAACTGGAACAAAGCTGGACTTAAACCTGCCTAGTCCCAGAAACACGAAAGCAATATTGGAAAGCAGAATAGATGTTTTCCATCTGTCCCATAAATGCCTCTCCCTTTCATTTTATTGACCACCTTCATAGTGCAGGCCTCCAAGAAATCCCACCTGTACTACTCTAAAACCCTCCTAATTGTCCTCCCTGCTTCCAGTCTTTCCATTCCCCAGGTTATTCTCCACAGAGCTGTAGTAGTTGCTCTTTTCTGGCGGCCCTCTGTACTTGCCTATTGATCCATCATATAGATGTGAAATACCTCAATATAGGAAGAACTAAACAAAAACACTGAGTAAATGTTAATCTGGTTTTTCAGTTATTTTTCAGCCATGTCTGACTCTTCATACCCCATTTGGCTTTCTTCTGTTTTGTTTGCTTTTGCAAAGGTCCTGGAGTGGTTTGCCATTTTCTTCTCCAGCTCATTGCATCAACGAGGAAACCAAGGGTTAAGTGACTTGCCCAGGGTCTCACACTTGTAAGTGTCTGAGGCCGGATTTGAACTCATGGCGATGAGCCTTCCTGCCTCTAGGCCTGGTGCTTTATCCACTGTGCTACCTACCTGCCACTCTGTTAACCTACATAACACATGTTAACAGTTAGAGTTCAGGAGATTTAAGTCACATTTTAAAGTCAGGCCTAATGGCACCTTTGTTTGTGGGTAACTTTTTAAAAGAAAAAAGAATTTCTTTTGCTACCCTTGCATTCCTGACCCACGAGGCCCCTTGTGTAAAATCCCAGGAAACTATAGCTATACTGAAAATGTCCATCTGTGAAGAAATGTGGAATTAGATTACAGCGTTTCATGGATTTTAGCCCACGATTTTGGGATGAGACATACCTCTCCCCTTTCTCTCCCTTCTTTATTATTCCCTCAAGTAGTTGTAATATTAAAAGATAAGAAAACCTACATTTGGGAATTGAAGTAAAAACATCACCTTGCCTCTCTACCAGTTAAAAACAGAAAGCCCAAAACTAGACTGAGAAGTAGGAAAATCATAAGGAATATCACAGCCCACATGGGGAGCTGAGGAATAGCTATACGCTTCCACTGCACTGGGCTGTTGTTTTTTTCTTGGACCCATGCCCTACCTGCTGGGATCCACTGTAAGATGGACAAGTGGAATCAGCATCAGATACAAAGCTAGAGAACTTTAAGACCTGGCAGAACATGTCCCCTTGTTGGAAATGTCCTGGGACCCATTTTCAGTAGCTGTGTTCTTATTTCTTTTTGGGAGATCTAGGGACAGTCAAAGGTACCCCTAGAATTCATCTCAATAAATTAGGCTTCAGATATCTATTTTTTTGTGTGGAATATCTTTTATTCTCCTGACATGGCCACTAGATTATCACTAAATCACCCATTTTGAGAGCATATATTGTTAAATAGTTAGGGGAAAAAAGATAGGTGAAGCTGATCTTCCAATACATCTGTTTCCCATACCCCTCAATTCAAGAGCTGCCAAAATAATCTTCCCAAACCACAGGTCTAACCATGTCCCTTCACTGCTGAAAAATCTTCAGTGACTCGCTATTTCACCTAGGATAAAATAAAATCCGCAACACTGTGAATGACATGCTTGCAAGCAATGAATTGATCTCAGCATACTGGAGAGTACCAAGCATACACTTCCCCAAGTCTCTTGGGTAAGGTATATGATCCAAGAGAGTAAAATATCTCTCAAAGTAAACTGGGTCTTATGGGTCTTGAAAGTCTCTGTCAAAAAGGTATACACAAATATTTAATTATAACCATAGAAATATTTACCTCCATGAACTCTAGAAAAATTACAAAGGCAATGGAAAAAGTAAATAAGAAGGATTATTAGTACATATATTACTTAAATAAAGTCAATCAAAGTTAAGATTACCAAGAAAGGGCAATCTTATAAACAATGTTACTATTTTATTCCAAAAATATAGCTTAATTGAAAAAAAATATTATGAGGCTAAAAAATATCTTGAGGTTAAAAAACCCCAGCAACTAGGCAGTATTGAAAAGCAATCTTAAGTTAGATATTCTGTCTACCAAGGCACGTATAGAGATGAGAAGAAAATATGATTAAAACCTTTTATAGTATTTTAGCTCTTGGTACTTAACCATAATTCTACTTAAATATGAAAAAAAGCTCATGTGTAGTTACATTTGCTTTATATATAATTTCCATTGAAGAAAATCATTATGCTGATTAATTTTTTAAAATGATTAATATTTGTTTTCTTGAGAGGCAATGGGATGTGTTGGATAGACAGTTAGACCTGGAGTCAAGAAGACCAAATCCTGCCTTAGAAACTAGTGATGTGCTCATGGGCAGGTAACTATGCCTCTCAGAATGTTGGATAACTTTTTAACATACGTAGTAAGTTCTACATGGGTTTTGATCTGTATACATGGATGATCTTAAACAGATATGATTGCAAGACCTTGACGTATTGTTGGGCTTGAAAGGGAGAGAAAATATGTATTACTTGATTCTATAATCAAGACATATGCTCAACCTTGAGCTTCTTCCCCTTCCATATGTGTGTGTGTGTGTATACATATATATACACACACACACACACACATACATACATACATATATACATATGTGTGTGTGTATCCCAATTAGAAAAGTAAGAAAACTTTTCATATGATGAAGGCTCATAAATATTGCCCTCTGGATTTATTTCGCTTTAGAGAGTTTCATTTTCTTCTTATGGGACCAGAATACTCAGCCACTTGGCTGATTTATAGACAAACCAAATCCTAAGAGAATTTGAACCTGCCTGGTTAGCAATGCTATCACACCTCCTTTTATAAAAACCTATTAAATAAATGTAAACATAACAGAAAGCCTCTCAAACACTTTAATGAGTACCAAAGGGAAAAAACTATTTCTCTTGGGTAGCTTAATTAGGTTACTCTGATGATACATTACATAATGGCTATGTCATCTTTCATCATTTTTAACTAAAACCCTCAGATTAAAAAAATGTTCCAACAATGTGCACATTATAAAAAAAAATTAGCACAAAAGCTTAAACCAAAATAAAGAAAGAATTATTCATTGGATCAACACTTTTAAAAACATAAAGATTTTCTAAAATCATATTTATATTTTTTCTTTAAAAAACTTTTCAGATCCAGTGATTATAAACAAATTCAGGCATTAGCTATTGAATTATTTGAATTGGTCTTATTACGAAAAGTTGATTGGTATTGAAAATGATTTAGGAAGTGGTAGTAAATCATTTGGAATAGAATTAGCTTCCCAACATATAGTCATAGAATTTATGTGCTGTTAATACAGTTGAGCTGGGGTACAAAATGTTTTACATTAAGATGTAATATCATAATATACATTAAAATACCCTGAAAGCAATAAGGCATTTTGAAAATGCCAAGGACTATTATCCAAGATCTTTTATATATGAGGTGCTTAATAAAATTTGTGTTGAATCTAAATTTATTCAATCATTGGTAACAAAAAAAGTCCACATCCCTGCCAATTTGCCTAATCAACAGAATATTTATGTTCACATGTCATATAAGCAAAATAATGGATGGTACAAATATTCTGGTTGGATTTTACCTACAATGTTAGAATCATAGCTGTAGAAGCTGGCATGAAATGAGAAATTGATGCTAGCAATGGAGGGTGAAAGAATTAGGTTGAAAGTACTAATCTGAAGTATAAAAGTATATGTCTACAGAGAAGAGCTGTGAGGAAGAAGTGATATAAGAAATCAGTAAAATCAGGAATCATATAATATAAGGATATGTCATATAGTTTCAGCATAGCTCAGCTGCTGTAACATCCATGAAGACTTTCCCGAGCTCATCACTATAAATGCTCACTCTCTTACCGAAATAACACAATCTTTGGTACCCAACTGGATTAAAAAAGAATTACAATTATTTGAGTAATATGTCTCCTCTCCCTGTAAGGTTCATAAGAGCAGAGACTTTATCTTAGTGCTAGTGTTCCCTATACTACTTAAAAATGTACTTTAAATATCAATATTCACTAAATGTTTGTTGAATAAATGGGGTTGGCATAAAAGAAGTAATTGTTCCCTGGAAATAAAGGTAAAAGTATGACAGTGAATGTCAGGAGGAAATTAGTATAAAATAGACTGTAGGAATACCTTTGGTAAGTAATTGGCAAAATGAATGATCCTACCTGTGCTCAATGGAGAACAAGGCCTATCTCTTTGGACCAGACATAGCAGGTTTTGTTAATCTCTATTGTGTTTATCATAACAGTGTGCATTAAATTTGTGACTGTGACTTATTCCCTATAGATTATATGCTCCAAGAGGACAAGAAAAATTCTTATACACGTTTTCTTCTAAATTGCTAAAAATCAATCTCTCTTTGTCAGTTTTAATTAGGCTTGACATCTCTGGTGCATTTGACAATATACTTCTCAGAATTACCCCCGGACTTATCTTAAATACTATCCTCTTCAGGTTTCAATGATACTGTTTAATTTGCTTTTTCATCCGATCTGGCCACTCCTCATACTATTTTGT